CATTAAATCTTAATATATTATTTGATTATTGGTTATTTTGTTAATAGGTTTTGTTGTCATCAGTATCCAGATGCATTTAAATATCTTATATGTGTGTGTTTCTGTTTAGGAGCTTGTGAGTGAGAAGCTGCGGACTCAGCAGATGAATAATGATCTGGAGAAACTGACCCATGAGTTGGAGAAGATTGGACTGAACAAGGAAAGGCTGCTGCATGATGAGAACTCAGACGACAGGTATGGACTCTCAAACGCTCACAGAAGCCATTTTATTTACTTTTTTGCGACGGCTCTTTAAACTGTTTCAGCCTGGAGCCCAAAATAGGAACTTATCTTTGGCTCAGAATCATTAAAAGTGATCAGTGCAAGTGGGACGCCACATAAATCCGGTCTGTGGCTTATTTTAGATCTGAGTTGAACTCAGAGTCATCCTGAGGGAGATTTCAGAGCCAATATCATCCACACCTGCTAGAACCTGGCCAAGAATCCAGTTGGCCGTATGATGATACACTCCCTTTTTTTAGGATTATAGATGTGTGATCACACACACACACACACCAAGTCAACTGAACCTACCTACCTACTTCTCAGGTTCAAGCTCCTGGAAACCAAACTGGAGTCGACACTGAAGTCATCGTTGGAGATCAAAGAGGAGAAGATCGCCGCCCTGGAGGCCAGACTGCAGGAGTCGTCCAACCTCAACCAGCAACTTCGCCAGGAACTCAAGACGGTAAGTAACACATACGCTTCTTTCACACATACACTGAACTCCGGACATTTTTTACAGACATTTTCCAGAGGGGCTTAATGTGAGAACGCAAATATCTGAGTCAGTTGCTCCGCCAGTCCCCAGTCAAATATGAGTGAGTGAGCCCAGGTGAGAAAACAGCAGGAAAACATTTCTAACACGCGACAGACTCAAAACTGAGAAGGATTCAAATAGATGCAGACGAATAGGTCGACTTGGAAAGACGACAAAAGACAAGAGCCTTTTTTGCCGCAATACCAACACATCCCTTAAACCCCCAAATACCCAAAACACTAGAAAGAGTGAAAACACTGAGGGCTTCTCAAGGCCGATGCATTATTTATTCTTCCACTCTTCCACTTCTATCGGTCAGTTTATCTATTCATGAGGTGGCAGGAGTCTGGGAGAGGTGGAGTGGAGGACGTTTGCTTTCCTCCAAGAGATGTTTTGTGTTTTGAACTTGTTGACATAAACACTTAATTATTGAGGGGAAAGTTGAGGCGTGTACTCTGGATGTCAACTGTGAAACTGTCATGGATCCTCTCTGCTGTTATTTTACCTTTATTTAGGTCACACTGTACTGAAGCGGTCTATTTCCTAGTATTTGACATCATGAATTTGCATGATGTTGGAGGTGTTGATTTTTAATTACTGAGGTGTTATTTCCTGTTTGTCTCCCTCCAGGTGAAGAAAAACTACGAAGCGCTGCGTCAGAGGGAGGAGGAGGAGAGGATGGTGCAGAGCTCGCCCCCTAGAGGAGGAGAGGAACCCCAGTCTCTCAGCAAATGGGAGAAGGAAAGCCACGAAGCCACCAGGGAGCTTCTGAAAGTCAAAGACAGACTCATCGAGGTGGAGAGGAATGTAAGTCAGCATGATGTCAGGAGATGGTTTACACACTTTGTACTTCCCCAAGTTTGATATCTTATACTGTATATGTATTTTCCCAGAATGCCACGCTGCAGGCTGAGAAGGTGGCTCTTAGGAGTCAGCTCAAACAGCTGGAGACTCAAAGCTCCAACCTGCAGGCTCAGATAGTGGCGCTGCACAGACAGACCGCCTCCTTGCAGGAGAACAACACGTCGCTACAGACACAGAACGCCAAGCTGCAGGTAACATCCCATCATCCCTCACAAACACTCAGTGTCCAGTAAATAATGACCTCACAAGATCCTCTGTAATTCACTGTTCATACAGTTGTCAGGCTGCTCAGCTCCCTGCAGGGGATTTAGACTCGTTCTCCCTAATTGGCAGAGATTCAAACCCTTCTTATGGGCAACAGGATTTACACTGACCCATTAGAAGCTTCTAGCTGTTTTCGCAGGTTGTTCCGTCTAAGAGCATATGTTAGACTGGTGTGTGTGTAGTTACAGAAAGTGTGTCACCACCTGGGTGTGTCAAAGTTTTAACACTCTCTGATGACAGAAGAGGGATTTGAGACGAGGAAATCACTGTGACCACAAAGGAAACATGAAAAGAAACAGTGTTCCTGCTAGTTTTTTGAGGATGGTTTTGACGGCAACAAGAGAGAAGAAACCAAATAGAGAAATAGCGCCCCCTATAGACTGAAACAGCAATAAAGTCTACTTGCAATACCTTCTTTTTCTTTGTAGTTTGATTTGAGGAGCCCAGTCCTCCCAACAAAAATATGAAACTCCCTGCTCAGTGTTTCCTTCTACACTTTCCCTCTTGTCCATCTCTTCACCTCCATCTCTTCTCCACAACTCTCATAAGCCTCATTACATTGTTATCACCCATTTCTTTCCTTTTCTCTTTTGTCTCCTCTTCCTTTCATCTTCGTGCTCCAGTCATTGTTGTCACATCCCATTTCCCTCAGTATTCATCGCTTACTTCACCTCTTCTTCCAAACCTCCCTCCTAACTTAATTCTTCTCATCCGTTGTCTCCATCAGGTTGAGAACTCCACCCTGAGCTCGCAGAGTGCCACCCTCATGGCCCAGAATGCCCAGCTGCAGACTCAGCAGAGCAGCGTGGAGGGCGAGCGTGAGGGAGCGCTGAAGGAGAAGGAGGAGCTGAGGGCCACCTACGAGCTGCTCCTCCGCGACCACGAGAAGCTTGCGGCGCTGCACGAGAGGCAGGCGGTCGAGTATGAGGCACTGATCGGAAAGCATGGGGGCCTGAAGACCTCCCACAAGAGCCTGGAGCAGCAGCACAGGGACCTGGAGGACCGGTGAGAGGGGGGGCGGGCACATGCTCAAACAACCACTTTGACCGTCTTTTGTGTTTTAAACACTGAACAATCATAAAAGCAACCATACCGAGGAACTAGAGGAACAAGAGGAAGCTGCATGATAATGAAAATCTGCTTTGTGTTATATTTCTTTGTTTAACAGTTTGTAATGTGTGTGTGTGTGTGTGTGTTTTCATGAACGCAGGTACAAGCAGCTGCTGCAGAGGAAGGTGGAGCTGGAGGAACTGGAGAAGAATCTGAAGGAGCAGCAGGAGAAGATGGCTCTGGAGAATCAAACACACCGAGACACAGCTGATCAATGCAAACTTCTCAAAGAGGAACACGATAGGTCGGATTAACCTGTGTCAATATTTGTATTTTAAAGATGTATAAATAACAAATGACCCCTTTTACACCCATTAAAATGCATCTCAGCGATCATATAGTGGTTGAGCACTAAAATTGTAAATGCACAAAAATATTGCAGCCAATAATAACATTAATAATGATTATTGATTAT